TAGTAGTACTACTACTACGACGACGACGACGACGACTACTACCACTACTACTACTACTACTACTACTACTACTACTAGTACTAGCATTAGTTGTAGTACTACCACTACTACTACTACTACTACTACTACTAGTACTAGTACTAGTACTAGTACTAGTACTAGTACTAGTACTAGTAACTAGTACTAGTACTAGTACGCGTACCACTGCTATTACGACGACGACACGACTACTACCACCACCACCACGACCACCACTACCACCACCACCACTATTACTACTACTACTGCTACTACTACTACTACGACGACGACGACGACGACTACGACTACTCCTACTCCTACTACCACTACCACTACCACTACTACTACTACTACGACGACTACTACTCGACATGTGCAGAGTCGGGCTGCGGCCGCTCACTGGCATGTGCAAAGTCGGGATGCGGTCGCTCAGTAAGAGAAAGTGTGTCCAACTGCCGAGCTGGTCATGCTTCCCTGGATTATGTTCGGTTCTCAGTGATTCATGATGAATGTCAGGCCTGCCGCAGAAGTCGTTCTGTCAGCGTACCACGTTGTGCACCTCCAGGCGCGGCTCGCTCCGACGATGCGACGGCACTGGAGCCCGTCGATTTCGCAGTCAATGTCGCCGCCTGTATGCAAGCCCTGTTTCGCGACCGACGGGTAGTTTCTTCGTTCGCTCTCACGCACTTGCCCCTTGAGCTGCCCGTTTTTGACCCGCCCGACCCAGAGGATGTAAAAAGGTGCCTGGTGTCAAAAGGCAAACACCCACAGTACTAGCAGCTCCCGCAACCGGACACATGCATGAAAGCAGCTTGCGATGCAGCTGGCGAAGATTCGCACAACAACGCACACTACGATTCTTCATCCAATAGTTGTGCACTGTTTGCTTTGATCGTTGTGCGTGGCATAGATGCGACCGACACCATTTCATCAACTACCTGCTCGCGGGTTTCGGCGCCCAACATCACTCCCTTTTTTTTTGCTCGGACGTTTCGAGGTGCCCAACGAAAGTGTTCCAGCCGCGGTCGCAGCTGACTACGCCACTAACGGACTACGAGCTACGCGCCAGTCCCGCGTCAGGGCCGCAGCGGCAGGCGGCTCTGGCCGGCGGGGGCTTCGTGGTGGAGCAAGGTGTCCAGCGGTGGGCCGTCGCAGGTTGGTGGCTGCAGTGGCTGCAACCAACGGCCTCCCTGGCGACGGCCTGCTGCACCGCAACGGACAACATGCCCCACCAGCGCCTCGCCCAACCGGCAGACGCCGCGGCGCGGAGCGCGTGCGGGGCTCGGTGAGCTTTCAGCCGGACTAGGCCCCTCACGCAAGTGCGCGCCTGGTCGTTCCAGCGCCCGCCCACCTCCGAAGCCAACACGACGAGCTTTTGTGGCTGGCCGCGGGACAGCTCCGGGTGGGTTGCGGGCTTCCGGTGCTCGTATCCCGTTCGCGTCAAAGGAGACACGGCGGCGCAACACAAGGCTCCGCCGCTGCGTGTAGCCGCGTACACGACGAGGTCAAGCCGTCGCCTGTCTTCCGCTGCTGCGCCGGGCGCAGTGGTGTGGGCCGGGCACGGTGGTGTGGGCCAGCCATTGCTGTGGAACGACCTGCCCTTCAGCTGCCCTTCCGCCCTCGATCGCTTTTCTCGCGACTCGAACCCATGCTCGTTCGACGAGCTTGGCTCGCCGGCGGCGCCAGGCGATTTGCATCGCGGCAGGTGGCAACGTGGAGACCGGCTCTGTCGGGAGCGCCGCGAGCCAAGCATCCGCCTGGGGCCCAGCCTGGGACGAAAGAACCGGGCGACATGTCCGGCAGCAGGCGTGCATGCATCGTGTGCCGGGGTTGAGCGTGTGCCTTCCAGGAGAGACCTCCAGGTGAGGCAGTCGCGCCATCCTTCCTGTTGCAAGAGATCCCGCGCCGCCGCCGCTTTCTCGCAGGCAAGCAGCTTGTGATGTCAATGGAATGCGACGTGCTTACCTCGACGGTAGGAGCCCAAGAATCGTAGGCGATTGGGTAACACCGATATCACGGATATTCACGGATCCGGTTCGGTGTAGTAACCTAAAAACATTTTTCTTGTCGAGGTTTCTTTGCAATTCCTACTACTGGTTCCAGACCCAAATCCCTATTTCAATCCCTTGGGCCCTGATGCTAGGCCTAGTAATGGAAGTTCTATGAGTCAGACCGGGGTCCAGAGCATTTGTACTGCGCGCCCGCACCGGCATGGCGCCGGCCAATCACCGCCGAGTGGGACGAGCCCATAAAAAAAACAACTCCGGTCACGTCCGGTGCTAGTTTCAGCTGGACTGATCGGCTTACATTTACCCACGAGCTGTCAGAATTTGCATGACAATTTGCGCAAGACATTGCTGCCCCATACCATTCTGCGAGCAAAGCCTCGTAACTATATGACCCTCATTTGAAAAGGCTATTCCATTGGAAACCAACATGAATACTGTGGGCTCTTTGGCGAGCGACGGGTAGATGTGCCCGAGCATGACAAGAGTTGCAGGATGAGGCTAAGTGCAAACTTCCAATCGTGTTCTCTGTTTTCTTCCTGGCAGCGGTCGCAACACGAAGATTTCGTACAGGAATTGTTGGTTTGCTGCCAGACTGTCGCCGGACTGCATGTTGAGTGCAAACCTTTCCTGAGCTGGCCGCACAGTCTCTTTAGTTTCGACGCATGTTCAGACCACCCTGTGATGACCTGTTTGGTGTCATTCGGATGTCGACAGACTCGAGCATACTCAAGCCATGCCAACACAGCGCAGGTTGTCCAGAATATTGGATTGTAAACACTCAACCTAATTGTATGCAGGTGGGCGCGGTGCTTGTGAGGGAACCGAGTCACGACATCTTATGGACGGCGTTGGCGGCGAGAATATCGTTTGCTAGCCGCTTCCCTGTCAGCCGGTAGCCGCGCGTTGGGAATAAACGCGAATTGGTTGTGGACCTTTCGTGGGCGCAGAGACGCGCAGGAAAAATAAGTGAAAATTCAAATTTTGTTCGACTGGAAGCGGTGCGTCGCGGGCACCTTTCCCACACCGCCATCCTTATTGGATGGAACTCAGATGGCTTTGAGGATTTGGACATGGGGGCAAACCGCAAAACAAAAACGATGTTGCAAGCGGTATTGAATTTTGAAAGGCCAGTTCATGAGATTTGTTTTCGCCATGTTCAATTGATACCACAACATTCTCCACAACGCATGGAAAAATTTCGTTCAATGCCATTGTATGTTGGTGGGTGGGCAGGACGAGCTGCACCCTTCAGTGATGAGGCACATGCGCATGATGCGCCGAGGCGCTCGCCTGTGCACAGTCATCAGCGAGGAATTCTGGCATGTGCTGGCGGGAGGCATGCTTTCCAATGATTTGGAGCTGGCAATGCACGACCTGGAGTTTCGTCAAACCGGTGCCATGTGCAATGTGGAGGAGGTCGGACAGAACCTTGCCAGTGCAAGCCCGTGCTAATCAATCAATTGGTTACAGTTTGCTGTAACCTGTTCAGGCCGATGCATATTGGCAGACCCATCCGTTCGTCCATTCGGTATCATCCACGCAAACGCAGGTCCAGGCGCGGACTACGTGTAGGACTGACGCTGCTTCACAAATTCGGCGAGCATGCATGTGCAGCATGTGGTTGCCAAGGTCATGCAGGCCGTGAAGGAGCTGAAAAGGTTGTTCCTGCTCGTAGATGTTCCACTTGTTCTGGTGTGGCGCTTACTCTTCTTGCCCGTGCGATTTGGGACCGCACGTGTTCTGGCAAATGCGCGGCCATGAAAGGTACGTGATGTACTTCTTGGTTGGAGGTGGACCTGTGAATGGAAGCAGAAACTTTATTTGAAGGGTTTTGGGATATCTACAGGGGATGTGATTTCTCTTCCGAGGGTCAGCAGATATAGCTGGATCGACACAGGGACGATTAGCATGTCACCGTTGCAAAGATGCTACTCTTGAAACTTGGTTGGCGAAACGTAAAGCGCAAGCCTCTAAAACTTTAAAGTCGAGCCCCCAAGCCCGAACCGATCACCACTCGAAACCGAAGAGCCCCGGGAAACATTCCTCAAAATCCTTGATGACTCTATCATAAAATCGTCACACATTTTTCTGTAGAACTTTTATAAACACTGGATAGTAGAAGTGTAGCCAACCAAATCGCCAACCCCATTCCTTACAAAAACCTTAAGCCGGAAGCCCTAAACATTTCCCGGGGTATGAGGGGAGAGCCTGGGCCAGCCTCGAACATGGAAGCATTAAACCCTAAACTTTTATGAAATGCGCTTCGGAGGCGCAGTTGCTTTGCGGTGCCCGGGAAGTCCGGAGCGACCGTGGCTGGGTACTTGTTCAGGAATCTAGTTTGGTTTACTTGCAGAAATACGGACACCCGAGTCGTTACCATGGATCCCTTTAGTATAATTAAGCACGGTTGAACGAAGCATGATAAGGACACCTTCTTTCTCACTGCCAATCTTTATGTTGGTAAACCCTAAACCCTACACCCTAAACCGTAAGCTTGAACTGAGTTCCTTTGCAAGAACCCAGGTGGCCACTTTCAGCCCCTGGTTGCAAGACCTTGGCCTCTCGAAGGTCAAGAAGGCGAGCAGCAAAAAGATAAACCCGCCCTACAGCAGTACGCCCTGGTACAGCGGGCTGAGGATCTATGCATCCCGTTCTGGGCTTCATACTTATATGTTGGGGGCCA